GATAGACAGAGAATGAAACGCCTGGTGCCTGGTGGGGAAAGGAAGAGTGTAAAGATTAAATTGTGGGGGCATCAATACCACTGTTTCTGCTCGGTTTGAGCTCTGACTACCAGCTAGTACTAAGACTTTCCCTCCTTCTAGAGCCACCCACATCTCAAATGACATTTGTAACCACAGGCTTGTTTTCACCCTCGTTCTCTTTTCACCTCCCTGAAATCTTGGTTCTTTTCCCACCATTCTAAAGATCTCCTAAGTGTCCTACCAGTGCTACTCCTCAGCCTCTGATAGAGGTGGCTTTCGGCTCCTCCCTGAACTCTTTTGTTTCTAGTGTGTCTTGCTTCTCTTCCTACCTCCCTAATCCTTCATTCCCTTGTCTCTATTTTCCCTTCCCTTCTTCCTCTCATTCCTTTTAATATGAACATTCCTCAATATCATTCCTCCACTCGTCTCTGTCCACTCACACTGTCTTAATCTGAGATCCCACAGACCACCATGAGTTCCAATCTCACGCCCATACAAATGGCTCTTAACTTTATCTTCACTCATAATTTTTCCAGTATTGAATAGTTTCCACTTGCCAGTTAACAATTTCATATAACGCTTCCATCAGCAACAGATCTTAACATGCAAAAATCTAAACGTGCCACCTTCCCTTCACGCTAGCCCTCTATCCTGAATTCTCAAATTTGGTTAATAGATCAGCATTCCACCCTCCTGGATGTCTTTCTCTTCCTCAGTCTAATCCTATACTGAAGATTCTCCCTCTGCAATATGTTACATATTCGTCCTTCCTTTTAATTTTTAACAGCCAGTGACAGCTTCCAAGTTCAGTGCTCACTACCTTATGGTAGGACAATTGTAACAGCCTCCTAACCAATTTCACTGCCTGTAATCTACCCACCTCTGGTACATTCTTCACCTGCTACTAGATTAATCCTTCCATCCTGGGGCTCTTTGTATCCATTCATCTACAAGCATCTCTTGTTTTCTATGTGGAAGTCCCTGTGCATGGTGCTGCACAGTGCACAGCCATGAGCATAATGAGTAAAATGCCAGGTGAAGTGTGGCAAGTGCTGAGGAAGCACTGATTGGCTGCCAAGAAAGTCCAGGGTTGAGCTCACAGAGGCTGAGGGGAGAGCTGATATTTGGACCCAGAAAAGATGGGTAGGATTCAGAAAATAAAAGCACTCTGGGTGCTTTAAAATGCCCTATTTTAAAACATGTATTAGTTTTCCATTTTCTACATGACAAAATTCAAATATGTTGGCTTGTTATGCAAAACCCAATAATATATGGGTCCAGTCTACTTTTTTAGAATTATTTCTCTCTCTTCTTCTATCCTTGCTTTTCAAAGTTATATGTGAATGTCCAACTAAATATCTGACAGGGACTCTGGGGAGTCACAGGGTAAATATGACGTATGAATTTTACTCAAAGAGTTTAGGGGAAATTTTTTTTATTAAAATAAAGATAGATGAATTCATGAAATAGAACCCCAAGTTCACCCGAATACAAGGTTTCAAATAAATGTCTTGCTACAGGAGCTATTTTGAACCGTTAAGGGTATTTGAGGGCTTAGTTTCAGAAGCTTACCTTCCTGTCCAACCCAAACACCCCAAGTTCACCCGAATACAAGGTTTCAAATAAATGTCTTGCTACAGGAGCTATTTTGAACTGTTAAGGGTATTTGAGGGCTTAGTTTCAGAAGCTTACCTTCCTGTCCAACCCAAACCATATTCTTACTGTCCTCTAAGCATCCCTTACATTTCTGGCTCTTTCTTTTCACCCATGGTGTACTCTTCTCTCACTCTATGGAATTCCTTTCACACCAGACCCACATCTACCTCCTATTCTTTTTTTTTCGATTTTATTAATATTATTTTTTATATTCTACAATGTCGTTGTAGAGCAGTTGGGAGGGAGAAGGAGAGAGGAAAGAAATGGGATGGAAGAAGGAGGAAGGAGGAGGGGTGGAATTGAGGCAACCAGCCCAGCAGCGACCACGAAGCCATGCAGGAGGTGCCCCAGGCTCTTCCGAGCTGGGGTGTGGGGGGCCAAGGGTCTCGGCCATCATCCCCCCCACACACACTCAACCAACCCACCTCAGCAAGAAGGGCCCCAGGTTCCTGAGCTGGGAGGGTGGGGGGCAAGAGCTATTGCCACACCCCCTTGACATCTGCACCCAGCCTGGCAATAACCAAGCTACCACTGGAAGCCCACCAGTCTCTCCTGTGGGAATGTGGGGAGTGCCACAGTCCTCAATCACATTTCCTATTCTCTAAGGCCCATCTTCGGCTGGTAGGCTTCCTTATTGACTAGGATTGAAAGAAATAGTTCCCTCTTCTGACCTATTATGTCACCCACATTTTACTTATGATGTTTCATGTTATATAGTTTCAGCACTTTGGCTAGATTCTAAGTTCGTGGAAACCAGGGACCTTGTCTTATTCTGTAACCCCACAATAGCAAGCATAGTGACCTACACATATTGAGTATTCAATAAATATCTGCCAAATGAATAAATAAAAAATTATCTGCTTAAATATCATCAGCTTAGGTAAGTCTTCCCAGACCACCTTATCTCAAGACTGTCCCTTGAGTCCCTCATCACATCACACTACCTCATTTTTCTTCATAACACTTATCATTGCATGACATTGTGTTCTATATTTACTTGTTTATCTATTTTCTGTCTCTCCTACTATAAAGTAAGCTCTAGGAAAGCAAGGACTTTGTTTTTTCCCTTCTGCATCAGAAATGTCTAGAATAATACTTAGCACATAACAGGCATGTAATAAATATTTGCTGAATTAATGTATGAATTATCCTATTTTTAAAATAATAATTTTAATATTAATATTCTTTTAATAACATAAACAAGTCTTAGAAAATAATATAAATAAGGTAATTTGAAGTTCTGAAATTTCAGTTTAATCTCATGATAGCTTTATACGTATATATTTTAATTTTCTCTTTATCTACTGGTAAGTTTGGTTGAAGAGATTACCCTTTGAAGATGGAGAGTGTGGGATAGAAATGGGAAGGAAGAGGTCAATCATCCACCTCTTCTATTACCTTTCAGGCAAAATTCAATGTCAAATGTCTTTTTGCCAAGATACTCATATTAAATAGATATACTGAATAATCTAAGGGAATACCACTCAAAGGTGCATAATGCTTTTCACAAGATGGTATAAAAAGTAGTCCTTCTAATATTTGACCTTGTATGTCAAAATGTTGAGAAACTAATTAGCTCCTATCTTTCCCTTAAAACCTAATCTGAAACTTTCATTTGAAATGACAGTTTCAAATGAAATACCTTAGGAATCCACACTATAGTTCTTACTTTATTTGCTTCAAAGACAACTTTTTTAACTTTGTACTTTAGCCAAGGGTAAAATTAAAGTTTAGAATGAGCTAATTTGAAGGCCATTTTCAGAGTCTAAGAGAATCCTTCCTCACATCGAAGGAGTTTATTGGTTCTTTTCTATAGCTCACATTTGAAATCCTGAGAGTACTGCTACTGAGTCACTGAGTCATGTTGCTAAGATTATCACATCTCTAATTCAGAATTTAGATATGATGGCCAATTCTGTAAGAACAAAATTGGTGTTCCTGTTAAGTGCAAAAAAATACAAAAACGAAAAATAAAATTTAAACCAACCTCTTTTCTAGGATGAATGGGCTAAGAAAATAACTTTTTGACCAAATCTTATTATGAAGAAATTGTCATGGACAGAACACAGAACACAATTTGTTCCCTAGGAGGTTAATTGTTCATTGTT